ACTTTATATGAAACTTTATATGAATGTTTTAATTATATACTTTGTAAAATCACAGAAATCAAAAGTTTGCTAGGAATCCGATATACATTCTCACTTAAATAGGAAAAATATCATTAAATTACTAATATTTTGAAAAGTATAAACTATATAGTTTTTATGTAGAACGAACTTTGTTAGGCGTTATCTAGATATTATTTAGATGACGTATAAGACTAAGAACGAAGAAAGATCTGAATTTTTAGATTTTTTTTTCGTTTATGACATTAAATCGATTGGTTTTGCAAATATTAATATATTTTCATAATGGAAAAGAATTTGTTAATTTTTAATACTAATAATACAAGACCAATTCAATATCTCTTTCAATCTCTTTATGATTTTAATAAAAGAAATTTCTGTCCAATAAAACAGTCTCGATGTCTCAATGTTTGAAATAATGAAGCTTTCAATACTTCAATGTCACGCTTTGATTAATCAGTTTTATGCTTCACATTTTAATATTCGACGTATAAAAAAATCGTGGCGAGATGAAGAGGCGACCAGCAAAATCGATATTAGAACACACGATTCGCATTTTTTTCAAGAGAAACCCAATATAAACGCGCTAGACATCGGTATTCACATGTCACATAACTTAATATGAAGTCTACATGATGTTCAGATGCCATGATGCCAACACGACGTTTGTATTTGTTCACGCGTTTATACGTGCTTACGCGTTTGCACATAGCTTTTCATTGCATCGTGCACTAATCATGGTAAAAGCAGCCAGTACGTTATATCCGTCATCCACCTTACCAATCTTGCCTTACTTATAATGGAAATATGAGAGGTGTCACATTCGTGCCTCGGGATATCTCTTTCTCTATCTGTTGTTATTCCTCTTTCTATTATTTTAAAAAATACCGTCGGAATATTATTCCATCGCAGTGAATATGCAGTAGTCTGTATACATTAGCATAATAGCATCTTTTTAGAAATTAGTAGTATTTTGATAATGCTAACGGAAATTAAAGAAAGTTCTGAGAAGAGACGATAATTTTTACTAAGAAAAAATTTACAAGTATAATAAGAAATTTTATAACAGAATATATTTTTTAATTAATTTTATATACATTTCAATTAAAAATATAATGAAAACATGACGAATGTAAGGATTATACATTTTAGAGTGAAGCAATAGATAATATATCTTTATATTCTTAAGATAGAAACTGGATTAGATTGAGCATTTAATCCGTTTTGCCCTTAGACCATCGGTGTCGGGAAGAATTATTGGGTCGATTAAACGAAAGCAAAAAAGGAAAAAAAATGTCGTTGTAACTACCGGCGCTAAAGATTGCCCCGAGCTCGATTACACGCGTTGCACGTTTCACTCATGTGCCACGTCGCACGCAATCGTAGCTTTTTAGATCTGCATCCCGCTATTCCTGTCCACCTGCGACCATCAGTAGGGCAAATTGTGATTTATGCGAACGGCGTGCAACCGTCTGACGAAAGAGAATGTGAGCGCAATGAGTTATGGCGCTCGTTTCTAATTCAGATATATGGTCGTGTAATCATCCTTCTGCTTGACACCTGTGTCACAGCGTTTCCGTGTCACCGCGATATCATTTTTTTTTTTATCTAGCTTATCCTCTAGATTATCCTCTATTATCGCGTACAACAGTATTTCAATCTCAACTGAAGCCAAACCCTGTCTTGATGAACAGATAATTAACTATTGAAAGTATTTTCAAATTTAATTAGAGTGACAGGTCAATTATTATTTTTGCTTTATGAATTATTTGTCAAATTATGAAGAAATTATAAGAAAACGATATAATATTATAAGAATTAATTTGATGATATCAAAATTTGTAGTTAAACGTTTCTCGTAAATCTCTAATAAATAATTAAAATTATCAAGGAGCGTAATATTAAATTCGATATCGTAAAATAAAGTAACAATATTTTAACGCAATTCTTTGCACAAGTTTAAACACAATCGCTCGTTCTTTAATTTTAATTGAGCAGCAGTTCGTGGTAACAACGTCCGTGTCGTATAAATTGCGGTAATAAATGATAATTATGTTACTGCATACCGCGGCAATGCCGCCGTATCGATTTGCGCCACCAATGATTTAATATCCGCGACCGTTTTACTATGAAATTGCGCTCAAATCGGATAATAGCGCCTGGTAGTTATCAAAGAGGCGAATATCTCCCCCTTTTCTCCCCCTCCTCTCTCTCTCTCTC